CCCAGACCCACTGCTTAGGTTGGGGATATCGAACAGTCGCCAAGGGATGAGGGCCCGCATGCTAGGTTTGGGTTTGCCGCTCTCTCTTGAGGGACAGTGGGTTGCATGTTGTGTCAAAACTCGCAGAATACAGCTTGTTGGAATGGTGGCTTCAAGTTTCCTTTTAGGCAGGCATGATGCGACATGCCCCCTAAAGGAATCCTAATCCTGAAGCCCTAATGAAACCTCCAGTGCTGCTTGTTTCGACCTTGCTTCACGACTTGTACAGTACGGGTACAGCTTCCGAAAGGACTCAGAAACTGCTCAGCATCACGCTACAGCCTGCCCAAGGGATGGGGCAAGGATGATTGCGAGAAGGCAGTTTTACTATTCCTCGTGGGGTTGTTGCCATAACAGCTGTTCGACGCCCAAGAATACTACTAACACTATTAACAACAAGAACAAGAGTTATAATCGTAATACTATAATGACCGTAATAGTAATACGAACGGAATAATACAAAAACAAAAACCAAAACAAAGAATGCTGCAACCACTACGACCGCTACAGTCCCGCTGCTGTGCTGATGCTACTATTACCAATTATTGGAACTCTACTAGTACTACTAGTGCGGCCAACTTCGGTTGGTTAAGGGTGTTGCGATTTATTAGCCAAATCGGGGAGAGCAATCATTCGGCGAATGCTGCCCTCATCTAGCCCACTCCCCCAGGGAAGCCCGTTACAGAACCCTCTAAATCACGCCATAAAGGGGCCTCATCCCCTAAACTCCCCACCACCGGACCCAAGTCTATCTTGCTGGTGGCGGCCACCGACACCCCCCTTCCGAAAATGTATAACATTTCCTGGATCGTACATACGAGAAACTCTAATCTGGAAGCCTAAATTTGTTACCAATACTATGTTGGGCTTCCTTATGATTACAGTAGTTATTGTATAATACACCCCAAAAGCCTGTTCTATCCCTTCAGGCCTCTGTAGTACTCTAGTATGCTTTTGACTTGGCACTATGACTGCTCAAGGTTGTGGTTTGCGGGTAGGGTTTACTTGGATGGAGGTTCATGGATAGTTCAAAAAGGGGTTCTACGTCCCCTAATAGGGGTTATAATTATAGTTACCCTACCTAAAACCCCAATTATACCTACCCATGAACCTCCAAGTATCTTTAGCATCCTCAATCTTCAGCCCCATGTTCAAAGCTGTCTTTAACAGTGCCCGGAGCAAATGACCCCAGAACCCGAAAACCCATAAGCCCGAAACCCTATATTCCCTAAACCCTAACCCTAAATCCTAAGGCCTAGGCCTGGACCGAGAGCAAGAAAGGGACATCTAAATGATCTACGGGTATGATATTTTGGTCCCTAAACCCTAAACCCCTAAACCCTTAACCCTGAACCCCAACTCCTATGCTCTTGAGGATTCGTGCTTCCGCTCTGGAACCTGTTTCATTATTCGTATACACACCCTAAACCCTGAACCCTAGACCAATGTCTTCGACCGGCGAGGAAGTACATCCTAGAGCCCTGTAAACCCTAAACCCTGAACCCTAAGCCGAAGTACACCCTAGACCATATAAGCCCCAAGCCCTAAGCCGAGCAACAGAGGTTCGGTCGACGGGCGGATCCGAGCTGCCAGCTGCCTCCGCAGAAACAACTTGGGCATTTTGGGGCTTGCGGGGCGCACTGGGAGGTTCGAGGGTTTGGGGTGTAGGGTTGAGGGGTTAAGGTTTTAAGGTGTGGGCTTCTTTTGTTTTTTGGAAGTGGGGGAAGAGCTATATAAGGTCTCACGGGTCAGGGGTCAGAGATTCTTCTGTAATCTTCAATCCCTCCCCCAAAACAAGGTTCCCTCAAATCATGTTTTAAGGGTAAAGGGGTTTCAAAGGTTAGGGTTTAGGGACGAGGGCCTTTGCAAATCGGATCCGGGTATCCAGAACCTAAACTCTAAACCCCAAATAGTTAAAGTCTTCAAATAAACCCGAAAAGCCCCTTAAAACCTTTTCAAGCCCTTGGAACTCTTAATCAAAACCCATAAAACCCATTTTGTACCCTTGCAGCACCCGGGGCCTCGCCGGGACTGTAACCCGGGGCTGCTGGAGGCTCTGCCCAGTTTTTGCAGGTCCTGCGCTTTCTAGGGTTTAGGGTTTTTGCTGAGGGCCTTCGGGTTAAGGGTTTCAGGGTTTGGGTTTAGGGCTTTTTGGGTTCAGGGCTTCGGGTTTAGGTTTAGGATAATACTAGTCATCGTGGGCATGCTAGTGACGAATATAATAGCACTGATGGTAGTGACAACGATGACCACGGTGATAACAACAACAGTAGCAATCATAGCAGTACTACCAATAACTGTTCATAACATAAAACCATAACAATCGTAATGACAATAAGTACCAAAGAAATTAAGAATACCAACTAGCAGTAACCGACAACAAGAGTATGAACGAGTCACAGTACATTAGGGATGTGCACGCCTTGCTGCTTGGGCTTAGATTTCTTGAACGGTTGCTCTACGTCTGCAGCTGCTTGAATTCGTAATACCAATGTAAGAGAACGAAGCTAAAACTAAGCAGCTTCTGGCTGGCGATCACCCATGGCTGTGACAAGAGGCTGTTTTGCGAAGACCCCCGTTTGCCTTCCTGATTCCTCTGGCTACGCCCTAAATCATAAACCCTATAAAAACACTAAACTCTAAATGCACTAAGACTAACCCCTAAAAACCCTCAATACCCTAACCCCTACATCTAAACCCAAAACCCTAACTATGATTAAGTATCTAAACCCTAAACTGTTAAGCGAGTGTCCTAAGTCCATGTTACCGTGATGGTCCGAAGAGCTAAAATCCTAAACCGTAATGCGCAACATCCTAAATCCTAACCTGTGTAGCATGCCCATAGGCCACGAACGAAGAAACCTCGAACCCTTTTGGACAGCTGAACGGCGTTTTAGCGCTTTTAAGAATCTGGAGCTAGATCGCTCAAGGTACCTTTCAAACAGGACTGCAAGCGAGCCAACCCCACTACATTTTGCCTCGAAGCTCTAGACCCAAACTGCTCCCGTGGGTTTTCTGCGAAAGCTGTGGCGAAAGCCCGGTGCAATCCCTCAACTCCAACCGCCGGAAGCACTCTACACAAAACCATTATGGGATTTGCGGGTTTTGAGTTCGAAGCGGAGGGTCATGACAGAAATACAAGTCTTGAAACCTCAAGCCCTAGCGACGGTTGCAAGATGCTGCAAGCCTAGATCCTGAAGTCCTGAAGTAACTTTGGCGGTTTAGAAGGGCTCCATAAAGGTTCTATACATGTTTTTGCGTTTAAGGTTTAGGGCCCAAGTTCAAGGTCTAGGGTTCCGGGATTGAAACTCGGGAATTCACATGAGGGGGCTTCAACAACCTAGAATCCGTGCCCTGCAGACGAGCGGCCTCATATCAAAAAGATGAGGAATCCTCGCGGGGAGGATGGTAGAAGCCAGGATGGTGCTGGGGAGCTGGAGGTGTTGGTGCTGTAGGCCCTAGCAGCGGAGGCCAGCACGGTGGGGGAGGCACGGGTGGCGGCGGCACGCTTGGCTCGCATGGAAGGGGCATCATGAAGCCCCATGGATCCTCAAACAACGGATGGCAATACCCTGGCGTAGGGCCGCATGGGGGTGGCAGTGCGCACGGGACTGCCATGAAGGGAGTTGGCAACATCGTCCCAGGAGGCGGCATGGTCTGACCTTGAGTCCTTTGTTGCTGAGTTCAGAAACCCCGACAAGTCTAAACCTGCAGGTATACGGTTGAGGATATGATCAAAGCAAGAAAAAGATACTAATTCAGCTACTAAGGGTCGCGTCATGGGCTTGATGACGATAGTACTGAGGGTTGGGCTCGCATAGCGCCGGCATCATGTGACCCCGTGGCTCTTCAGGGGAAGGGCCTGGTGTAGGCTCGCATGGGGGTGGCATCGCGGGAGGAAGTAAGACTAGGCAGACATGTAGGGCTGGACCTGGTCCAGACGGAACCGGGGATGGGAGTGACATCCAGGGCCCTGCAAATGCAAACGGCTCCTGCAAGGGTGGATGGTGGACTCCGGGGGGAAAAGGCATCATGGGTCTTGGCTCCTCCTCTGGGCGAGGAACATAGAGGCCCTCGGAGCACCTCAGAACGTACCGTGTTCTAGGGTTGAGGGTAAACATACGGCGTTCAAAAAGGGTTTCTGGGTTTTTTTCGAGTTTTACATCTACTTCCTGCGGTTTTATGGAAGTTTCGAGTATATCCCTAAACATGTCTCTAGGAACCGGGTACCAGGGAACCCAACACCATGCAAGCCTGAAGCCCTACCACCCCTGAGTTCTCCATACAACCCATCAACCATCCGAGACCGTCAAACCTAGACCCTCAGCCCGTTAAACGCTAAATCCAAATACGCATGGTTTGTTTTTGCTCTGGTCGAGGAGTATGGAGTTCATGAGTTCCGGGCTTACAGCTTTTGGTCTTGTCGGCATGGGCTGCCGGGCTGAGGCCCTGAACTCTATGTTGGACTTCCTGAAAAGTTCAGACAGTCTAGTTAGACTCTATAGGGTCACTTAGCCACCAGAACCCCCGAAGCCGCAAGCTTATTCCAACCTAATTGTGTATGTGGGGTTTAGGGTTTTTGTGGTCATTGAAGCGGTGTATGAAACCCTCAACATGGTAGAATACCCCCACAGAGCCACGATAAAACCACCACAAACCTTTGAGGCCCCGAAGCTAAAGCCTACTGATAATTGGTGACCTCCTTCTACATGTACCAATACTCCTTTCTATGAGCGGCAGGATGTTCGCTACTACAGGACAGGTTTCCTTGGTTTAGGAATTGATTTGGTTTAGCGGGGCGCAGCAGTTCAAGGTTTGGGATATTACGGTTTTAGGCTCTTCGGGGTTTAGGGGGTTCGTTCTGAATGTTTAGCTGTTTTGTTTGGGTTTCGGGGGTCCGGGGCTCAGGGTTTAGGGTTTTGGGGTTTAGGACAGCAGAAGGGTGCAAACTGTAGGGTGCAAACTCCCAAGGCCCTAAGCGTCCTTCTATTGTTTGGGCACCGACGTTGCAACCAACAGGTTGGCTGAAGTTGGAAGCCGGGGACGATTATGCATCTTTGGGCGAGTATAAGATCATTCGATACCAGGGCACTTAGGCCCTAAACCATGTTAGAACTCTTGAAACACGCCATTACGCTGTCTAAAAATCAATTTAAAGCCCATGGTGTATTCCTCGTCTGGTGTATGGCACCACCATCCCCGCTCAAAAGTCGCTACAGAGCCCGTCTAAACTAGTATTTCATCTCCTTATCTCCCATGTGAAACACAGAAACCCAAACCATACTCTCAAACCCTGCTGAAAGTAATAAAGCTCCCATAATAACTCCTAGAATGAAGACACAGACAACAACCTCAAACACAACACCAACAAACTAATAAGTAGCCCATGTGCTTGCTTTAATCCCAACCGCTTAGGCCCTGAACACTAAAAGCCCTAAAGCCGAAAACCACAACACCATTAAGCTAAAACCTTACAACCCCTTAAACCCCAAACCATAAAACCCTTAAATCCGAAACCACAAAGGATATTAGCACCTTACAGCCCTAACAAACCCATACCCCTCAGCCCTAGACTCAAAATCCTAAATCAGAAAGCCCTTGAGCGCTAAAACGCTACAACCTGCGACTCTTCGCAGGCCAGAAACGTGGGCACATCCTCAGCCTCCTTCTGCAGCCGAGCCTGCGGGGTTTTCAGGGTTCAGGCTTTAAGGTTTAAGGTTTGTAGACTTTAGGGTTCAGGGTTCAGGTTTTAAGTTTTAGGGTTTTTCCCACTCGGGTTTAGGGGTTAGCTTTCTATTATGGCATGAATCGGGCCTCCGGGTGGTTCTACAGTGCAGCGTTTGGGGAGACGGGGTGTAAATGGGCTGTCGTGGGGTTCTACGGGGTTTCAATACGGATTCAATAAAGGCTGTGCAGGGTTTTGTGCAGGGGCGTTCATAGGGTTTAACAACGTTTCTATTGGGTGCACAAGGACATATTAATAGGTTTTCAGGTTTCTTGAGTCAAACGATTTAGGAATCGAAGGCTCTTTCGAAGGCTCTTGGAGGTATTCTTGGGTCGAGGGCTCCTAGACGTAAGCGGCATAGAGTTTAGCATCTTCTGAATTTCGGGCCTTGGGTTGAAAACCGTTCAGGGTTTGGAGCTTTAAGGAATTTGGTGTGGAATTCCAAAAGGCCGGGGTTGACTTTGCAGAAAGGTTCAGGATGCCATTGGGGTTTCGGGTCTAAGAGAACTCAAGTTCAACACATGTTGAGGCGAAGGTTATCTAGTGATGTTTTCGAAGAGCGGCATCCCGGGCGCGAGACCAACAACCATATGACGTCCGTGCTGCTTGAAGATCTGATGTCGATCACTTGGGGGTCTGTTGGTATGTTTAATCGGCGGCTAATCCTAAACCAAACCCGACATAAATGAAGCCTTTGATAGGCATATACGGGAGGACATGGAGATTGCAGATGTGCGGGGTTTTAGGTTCCAACAATCCCAGCCAGCTACATAGAGCGATGTAGGGCTTTCGGGCCCTGTAGACATCGTCTTGCAAACCGATTACACATCTCGTCTCTTGTAGCTTTGGTTTGATGCGCGTTGATGGTTTGTGGCTTCTGGGCTTGGGGCAGTCGTTGAGGCTAAATAAAAACACCGCTATGAACCGGGATAGACGAACAAAATACCCGAAACCCCGAACCCTCAACTGGCCCTAAACCCTAAACTTGAAAACCTCAAGCAGAAGCCCTGGAATGCCATAGCGTCGACCCTGAGCAATGCAATATGACGCACCCTAAACCTCGAAGTACACCCTACTCCCGCTGCAAACCTCGAGCCGCCAACAAATCCTTAAAACCGACCCTAAACCCTATAAATCCTAAACCCTAAGCCGAGCAACAGAGGTTCCGTAAACGGGCGGAAACACAACCATACGCTAAGTTTCAAAGCTTCGGAGTCAAAGGGCCTAGGGTTGTGGTCTTCGGCTTGGTGCTTGCATACGAGCACTCGCACCTCAACCCTAGGGACTTCTGACCACCTAAGCCCCATCAAGACTGGGGCGGAGCTCTTCCGATACAGCTGGGCATTTGGGCATAGAGTAGGACCGCATGAAGAGCTCCGGAAAATCTGATTTTCCGTGTGGGACAGAACATGCGGGAACCATAGGGAACCCTTATCCTGAAACCGCTGTCAATGGAAAGCTACCTATCTGCTTTCCTGTCCAGATGTGCTTGCCCTGTATACGGAACGCCATTGACTGGTTACTGGGCATGCTTACGGAAGCACGGCTTCCTGACAAAGAAGTCTCGGAATCCCTGTTCTAAGACCCCGAAAATTATCCCCGATGCGCATTTCAACACCCCACCTGGAGGAGCGACAACTTCCCCTGGATGCCAGAGAGCAAAAGCAAATCGACAAGTTTAGCGGTGAAGTGCAACTTAAGAAGGGGCAAAGGATGATGTCTTCAAAGGTTTGAATGGCCTAGCTTCCAAATCGAACTTAGTCTTCGCGCCGTTTGCACCATGCCACAACATAATCTTAGAGCGGGTTACAATATCTGATTTGCAAAGAAAGGACTGCAGCTACAAAAGGCTGCGAGGTTAGGACTCAGAACTTGGCACACAAACCCTCAATGAAGGGTCCCCTCAAGCCCCACCTGTGCACAAGACGGTCGTATACCCGTGACAAACACAAAATAGGGAAGACTAGGGACAACAGGACCATCTAGGTGCCATATCTTGGCCACTGATGAAATCTTGCATCTGCAAGTGCCCAGGGCGACCAAGGAGGCAAATGGGATCGGGATTAGGTTCGAATGATGTAACGTAACTTCAGCGCGTCACACGCATTGAATGTCTGAGTCTGACACGTACTGCAAACCATGTCTGCAAAGGGTGAAACAAATGAACCGTAGCAAAAGGCTGCTTTGGTGCATACGGAAAATGCCCAAATCCCCGAATCCATGACACGTATTCGTCAACCACGTAAAAAAGAAGCAATGAAGGCGGAAGCATTAATTTGTGCAGCATGCGGTGCCTCTGAACCAGGGAACCCGGATGATGCCTTTGTAATCCGCCCGGGCGTCTCAAAGGCCCATTAAAAGACAAGAACCAAAGCTCACCCCCCTTCTAGGCTGGGCCAACAGGGTCTGGGCCTGTGACATGGTGAACTCTGACAAGGGCGTATCTTACGGTCACCGAAATAGTATGCCAAGAATCTCTATGGAATGAAGCTGTTCATCAAGTTCAAGCCCCGTTGTCTGAGCCCTCGGCGGCGAGGAGTTGCGCTTTGAGGCGCATCTCCTCGTCGGCTCCAGCGCCCAAGCGGCGCTTGCACTCGCGAAGCAACGCTTCCTCGGCGAACACAAACTCGGGCGCGTTTAGGGCGGGTTGATTCGATGGTAGTTCGGGAGCCCATAATCACATTTCCCATGAACAGCAATGTATTCATTACATCAGGACACGGTAACATCTCAACTTGTGGGTACGGTTCACGATTCAATGATGTCGCATTCAATAAGTGGCAATGCTTGAATCCATGGCGCAGGTCTCCTATGAGCCCAAGATGCCCCCAGTTTCAACAAACCGCAAGTTAAGTCGTAGGTCCTAGGCCCTAAGCCTCGACGTCGGCAGAAGTGTAGCGTTGCTGGCATCCTCAACACCCATCTCAGCATGCCTCACCTGACCTAAAGCCTTGTCAATCAAAGTTTCCGCTGTACTGCTCCCGCTATTACTCCCTACAACCCAAACCCTCCAATCCCGAGTGCAGCAGGCCCTCCAGTGCCGAGGTGTGCAACCTTAAACCCAGGCCAAGGATCGCAGCGCGTGACTAGCGCCGCAGTCTTGGTCTTGGTTCGATGACAAAATAAAACGGAAGGATAGATAGGGCTAGTGCAGGGACAAGTAAAATCTGAGGGTGCGAACCCTCTTCTGATTGTGAAAAAAGGCCCCTAAAACGACGGTTTGTAAGTATGCAGGTGCCCCGAAAAGGCCAGGGAGGGAGTACAATTGTTTGAATCCTCCATGTTCACTGTTTCAGGTTTTTGCGATAATTCGGATGTTTTCGTCCAGTGGGCAGCAAGACCCAAGCCCAGAAATCTACCATTCAATCCCCGTCGCATGGCGGGCACTAGTACCAGTAATACAGGAGCTGGAAGAGTAGGCGTCGTGGTAGGAGGTAGAAGTAGTGGTAGTAGTAGCAGCGGCAGTAGTAGATTACGAGTGCTAGTACTATTATCCAGTAGAAATAGTAGTAGTTGTCGTAGTAGCAACAGCAGTACTACGACGACGAGGACGACGACGACGACTACTACTACTACTGCTGCTACTGCTACTGGCACCAGAACTAGCCGGAAGAGTCAAGCGGGCCCGCCAAGATCTAGACCGTAGTAGAGTCTTACCAGACGTGGCAGCACAGTTGATGATGTCAGAGTGTCGCGGCTGATGGTTCAGCGCTGAAGGTAGCGGAATTCAGGTTTAAACCGACGTTTTAAGCGTTGTGGTTTAAGGCTTGAGACTGCAGAGATTTTCGGCCCTAGGGCTTAAGGCTTTGAGGTCTGTTTTTGTTCTCCTCTTTTCCTCCCCGTTACAAGGATGTAGGATTCTGCCTTCGAACTTGAACTGACATGGCAAAAGGCTCTAGTTTCAAGATTTAGCACGCGGGTGATTTTCCGTGCACTGTTTCAGCACGTGTGTGGGAGGAGGGTTAAGGCGATGATGACGTCCAATTAGCAACTATCAATGTGACCAGGGCATCGTCGCCTTCATGCATCAGCCTGATGCCCTCAGCTTCGCCATCATCGACGTGAGCGCCACCGTCACCTTCATGCATCCCCCTGATGACGTCCACTTCAACCCGCCACCATCTACATGAAGACCACATCGCCACACCCATGCATCACCGTTTTGCATTCCTTATTGAAGAACCTATGCTATGTATACAAAACACTAGTCAGCAGATGCTGCAAAGGAGCCGCCATTTGCCTGGATACAAGTCAAGCGGGAATGGGTAGTGTTTACCGGGGGATCGGTGCATGACTGCTTGAAGTTCATACCCTACGATTGGGGATTGGGGGCTCGTGGCGTTCAGGGGCTTGGGATCGGGTTCAGGCAAGGACGTGGGCTTCAGATTTCGGGGTAAGACGTGTTCATGCCGCGTTTAAGGGCTTCGGGCGCGGGGATGTGGTTCGAACTGGACAAGAAGCAGCCCACAAAGAGCTGATAGGTTATGAGACAACTAAGGGTGTTGGAGTTTAAGGCTCTGAAGGAATATGTGGAATCTTGGATTTGGGTTTTAGGCTCTTAGGGCACTTCGGCATTGTGGTGCTTCCAAGGTTTATGGTAATTTTTAGCGTACACTGAAGTTCCAACGACGTCCACATGGAGCGCTTAGTTACTGAGCCTCAACTGCACGAGGCTTCGGGGCTTAGTGTTTCGGGTTCAGGATTAGAACCAACACCACCTGAGAACAAGGCTATGATGATCGCTATGGTCGATGCTGTGCTTATGTCTACTCCGACCATTTTCTTTTTCTGTATCCTAAATCGAACCTGAAGCCCTTATGGAACCCATATAGAGCCGGGCAAAACGATTCCTCACCAGAACCTTAACGGAAATTGCAAAGAGACCCTTCAACTTTGGGCGGTCCTTGGCTGTGGCCGCTCGGCACCGAGGAATATGTCTGCAAGCTCGAGAACGAGGTGCGCGGAAAGCACTCAAAGTCTCCGGGGATACCACTGAGGAGAAGAATGATGAGATGACTGTCGCGAGGACTGCAACCGCTAGATAATCGTAGTGAGATGACATGGACTACACATGAGGTGAGCAGACATGACATCGAGCCGAGATCCTTGCGACGCTCAAGACGCGACCAATTCGAAACCTCTTGGCACCGGCATGGCCAGGACGGGGACGGAAGGAAACATGTCTCCACTTGTGGTCTTGCGTGCTTACAAAGCCTAATTCGGCATCTCGGGTCTGGCGACGGAGCACGGAAGGATCCTCTTTCATCTTCGCTTGCGACGGGTGTCCAAGAGGGAGAAGCTCAACCGACGTTCGGGAGCTCTCTGGGCCCCAATCCGGGCTTCAGGCTTTTCAGTGCAGTGGCACATGCCAAGGCTGGCATCGAAGCGTTTAGGGGCGAAGGCTTAGGGTGTGGGAGCTGTTTTCTTGTAGTAGGTTTGCTATCGAGAACGAGAGCAGATGATGGCTGATAGTTCCGGTGATTATAATGTAGGCTGGCCTCACAAACGCCCACACCCCACAGAGTGCAAGGGCCGCATTGTTTGCAAACCTTTGCTCCTTGGGAATTGAAGAAACAACGACATTGGTGCAGCAGCTGCAGCTCAGTCGAGGGTTCGCACCGCAGGCGTGCTGGTGGCGCCTCGGATGATGGGTCCCAAGATGGTTTAGGGGTTCAGGGTGGAGCGCGCCAAGCTGTCGGGTTTCCGGGTTGAGAGCTTAGGGGTTCGGGGCTTATTGGGGGGTGTCTGTGGGGTCCAGAATTCACGCTAACTTACATGCTCCCCACGGAACCACGGTGTCCGGAGTCCCGGGTTTCGGAAACAGGCCTTCCGTCGTCCCAACACCCTGCAAACTATTGTACACTGAAGACCTTTCACTACAGATGCTTCGAACTCCTTCGAACTCTGAACCACTGCTTGAAGCAGCAGAGGACTGCCTTACAACCATCCCGTGATTCTTCAAGTAGGAGTTGTCCAGACCTAGCCCTCAAAGCTAACGGTCTAACGTCGCAAATACCCCGTTCCCCCTGAGGGTCCAGCCATAGAAGGCTTATGGGGCCACTCTGCAAGGCTTGGCGAAACGAACTCGAACCCACCACGGTAATTCTCGAAATTAGGGTCCTTGTTGTAATGGTGCCAGGTACCCCAAAAGGGACCCTAATTCAGAGAACTTCCCCGTTAGAGACCCTATAGGAGCGCTTGTAGATCCCTTTACGGGAAACTCTAAAAAGCTTTCGGGTTGCAGAGAAGTATCGCGTGCTTCAGGCATCGATTACTGGCCTGGTTGAGGGTCTTTGGGGTAGTTTAGGGCTCCCATAGATAAGTGTCTGTAAGAGATCTACTACTGGGGTTTAGGAGATTAACGGCTTAGGGTCTTGATCTAAGTTGCAAGGTTCGGGGAAATCGAGCTGAGACATTCAGGACTCTGATGTGGATACCTATAGCAGCCCTTACAGTGGCACCTTAAAGGAACCCTATAAACCGATCGAAAGCCCTATGATTGCCTTTACAGGAAACCCTATGCCAACTCTTTAACGACCCGGAGCCTACCTACAACTCCCCCCAAATAACATGGTGTTCCACAAAACCCCCTGTCTGGGCCCAAAAGTATGTAGTATAATTGCCTTCTTATAGGTTTTGGGCCGTTATTTTACCTACTTTTGGAAGGTCTAGGTTTCCTTAAATGATTCGACTAGGGTTTTGGGGCCCATTATTCCCTAATTATAATAAGGAACCCCCCACAAAGTAGAGGTAATTATGAAGGCCCCTACTTGGAGGTTCATGGGTAGTTATAAGTAGGGTTATAAGTAGAGTAACTAGGAATAAGACTCCGATTAGGGTGCTTATAACCCCACTGATAACACCCATGAACCTCCAAGTAGTTCCTAAACCCGATACCCTTACAGTATCCCTATAGATCCCTTTAAAGGGACCCTAAAGGGACCCTTAAAGGAACCATAAACCCTAAACATGATTTTTAAAGGGAAACTCCCCAAATCCGCCTAGCACCGCCAGGTCCCGGGCTCGGCTCAGGGGCGGCTTTCGGGGCTTTCCTCGCTTGGATGCGACGTGGCCACTTAGCGGGAGGAGCCTAGCACTACTTGAAGGATCGTCGGACTTGGTAAGTAGGTTATAATTGGGGTTATAAGTCCCCTAAGTGAGGTTATCCTAATCATAACCTACTTATAACTTTACTTACTACGTCCCATGAGCCTTTAAGTAGAAGAGGGTTTAGGGTTCAGGGGGTATGAATTATACAGTATGGTACTAGTAACACTTCGGGTCACATAAGAGGATTCGATGATTCATAAGCATAATAACATGAATAGCAATAACCAAAGTAGTAATCATGATACTAATAGTAACACGCATAATCATAATGACATGAGTGATAATCATCATAATCCTGATAGTACACTGATGATAACACAATCGTAGTAATCATAGGCTTCGATGATTCACTACTGCAAAGGCCATGCAAGCCTGAAACCCCTCACCACAAGCCGCCGAGGGCCCTGAGGCAAAATGCATGCGCTCCAACGCCCACTGCACCCCACCCCTAAGCCGATAAGGGCAACCTTCTAGACCCTAAACCAGAAAATCCCTCGCCCTCAAGCCTTAACCTACTCAAGCTATCTAGAGCCCGAAACCCCAAAGGCCAAACTCCAAATCCAAACGTGGCGCCTACAATCCCGAAACAAAACCACTTAAAGCCTGGAATCCCTCAAGAAACCTTAGTCCTCCCCGTCCCTCTTTGAGGCTCGTACTTCGTTTGAGCACGAGAGGCGCTCCGAGGCGCCGGGGGCGTGCCTGAGGTCCCTTGAACTACAGTTTTCATAATGTAAAGTCAGAGTAACTACGAAAACTAGTCATCAGGGTTCCTGTATATAAATACACTCTAGGCGCCTGAAACTAAACCAGAACCTACATTCATGAATCCAAATATAGTGTCGGGTGGAGGGTTTATGGTTCAGGGTTCTGAGATTAGCCGAAATGAGTAGCAGAAGCCAAATGTGTACTTCACGAATCTTGAGAGCACTGGCCCACTGTATTCAGCTCAAAGACTTAAACCTTTCAAGGTGCAACTTGCCTTTAGAGTTAGTAGATCGATTGTCCTTACTGTTGTGCAACAAGATGCAATTGCAGCTTTTACACTTAAAGGACAGTTACTAATTATGTGCGAAGTACAGTGTATGCACTATGAGCTGGGAGTTGTTGTTTGGAGAGATGTGTTCCGTAGCCAAATAACAAAATGAAACGAAACTTTAGTACTGGAATGAAAAGTATGATCACAAAAACCAAGCGCTTTCGATGCTATCCCTGCGGGTTCCTGAATTATTATACGTACACGATACCCCCCCCCCCCCACAACCTTATTCTAGTTGCTAGTGCCCTTGCATTATACCATAGCCAGAACCTCGATTTCCCATCTTCTCATTCTGAACCCAAATTGTAGAGCTTATAGGGGCTGTATGTAGGTTCTTACCAGGAGCCCAAATTTCGAGTTTTTGGAGACCCCCTGACACGAACCCTTCAGCACCCCATCCCTGCTGTTGGGTCGTTCAGCTATCTTATAAGTAGCAAGAATATGTTGTGGCAAAACGGTTCTGACTTGGAATGGAGACTGAACAGAGAGGGTATACTGCCACGAGAATCCCCTACCACCCAGACCAAAGTCTGGAAGTCGTAACCCCCTTTGCAATCGCATCTGTACGCCAAGCATACAGTGCTTATGCTTATGTGAGCTACTGCCAGGACCACAACTGAAATCCAACAGCCTGACATGGTGCCTTGACGAAAGCCATGATGTGATTCCTGCTTAATTTTCAGGAATTTCCTCTAGCCGGATCCTAGTCTGGATCCCCATGTTGAAGAAACCCTACACTGTACACCCTAGACATCCCTAAAGCCTCTGACCTTCAAAAGACGACCCTGAGCTGAGCCCTAAACCCTAAAACCCTAAACTGGATCCTGAAATTCAGGATCCCCTTCAAGGGAACCTCTTGCTGATGCGCTTTTTTGTTGAGCTTTGCAAAGGCTCGGAACCCGAGGCCTCGGCCTTTAGAATATCCCAAAATCCCTGCATCGCGTCGCCAGGCCCCAGGCTGCTCGGCTCCGCCACGACATATGGGAGGAGCTTAGCACTAAAATAGGGTTTAGGGTTCAGGGGTATGAACTAGTATGATATAAGCAGTTAGCAAAAAAAACAACTAATAACAATGCTGGTATCAAGGAGC